TTTGATTTGTGCTGATTTAAGTGGTTCAGGTCTATTAATGAAATCAAAAATTAAGTCAATTGGTAATACTGCAAATCCAAGACCTCCAAAGAATAATACTAATACATATCCTATTGTACTAATTCCTGATATAATGAAGAGAACTGGTGATATTCTAAAACTAATTGTAGATTCTTCATCATCATTTTCTGGTCTGACATTTGCTGCTTTTATATTGTCAAGATTAAATGATGTCAAATCAAGATCTCCAGATTGATAATTAACAGGTACTTCTGCTACACCAAAAATAATGTAAAATATTACACAAAATACAGCGGCTACAACAAGGAAAATCAATGCAAAAATAAAGGAATATACTATTTTTTTAACACATGAAGTATCTTCTTCTTGATTATACCAACACAACCCAAATGGTAATATAATCGCTGCAAATACAATCATTCCATAATAAACTATATACCAGAAAATTTGCATTGGTATTATCGGTTCAGGTGGTCCAGCATTAAGTACATCTAATGGAATTAAGAACACACTCATTTCTAAAAACTCAAATGCAATAATTACAATAATTCTCCATATCCAACTTACTCCTTTCTCTTCAGGATTTTGGAAATATATCATCATATAAATATTACATATAAGAAGTAATATTGGTATTGCACATAATAAAATGATAACGATGATGTTAATCATTTGTTACTACTAATTTTATGTTTTTTCTTTTTTTTTTATTTTTCCTTTTTTTATTTTTAGATTATATTATAAAATAGTTTTTTTATTAAAATAAAATAAATTTATATTTAGTTTCTCTCAATATCCTAAATAAATCACTTAATTAAATCCATAAAACAAAAAAAAAACATATAACACAAAAAATAATAAAATGTTAAACAAAAAAATAAACAATTACATGATGATTAATAATGTTATAGAAGCAAACATCTTTTCTTCTTTTCTTCTGTTTCATTTAATTTCTGTTGTGGTTGATGAAGTTCACAACATTCTTCAAGAACATTTTATAGTTATATTTAATGTTAATACATGCAGAGTAATACTAAATAAAAAAATAAAGAATTTCATTATAAATTCATTAAGAAATAATTCAAAGCATCAAATAAATTTCACTAAATGAACTTAAAAATATATTTTTCAACAAAAAGAAATGGAATTTATCGACACAGAAAATCTAACATTTGGTGAATATCAACAATTATTCAATAAATTAATTCAATACAGAACAAAGTCAAAAGGGTATAGTATTGAACTACCAAGTAAAATAATTATGTTTGCTTACTTCATTTAAAAAAAAAACAAAAATAAAACAAACCTCAATTTTACTTATTTAGACAATTATGTAATGAAGTCTTAAATGAAATATCAAAAGAACCTATTATAATACAATTAAAAGCACCAATAACAATTGTTGGAGATATTCATGGACAATATTATGATTTATTAAGAATTTTTGAAAGTAATGGATATCCAAATGAAACATCCTATTTATTTCTTGGTGATTATGTTGATAGAGGAAAAAATAGTATAGAAGTAATCACTTTACTCTTACTTTATAAATTAAAATATCCTCAATCAATCTTCTTATTAAGAGGAAATCATGAAGATGAAAAGATATGCCGAATGTATGGATTTTTTAATGAATGTTCAAGATTTAAAGATGATCAAAATGAAATATTTCAATCTTTCATTCAAGTATTTGATCAATTAGCTATAGCTGCTGTTATAAATAATAAAATTTTTTGTGTCCATGGAGGACTTTCACCAGATTTAATTACTATTCAAACAATTGAAACAATTAAAAAACCAATTAAAATTCCATTACAGGGAATATTATGTGATTTATTATGGTCAGATCCACATGATCTTCCTGTTGATGGATGGATGAAAAACCAAAGAGGAATGAGTTATACATTTGGACAAAATGTTGTAGAATCTTTCTTAAAAAAAAATGGCTTTGAAGTAATGGTTAGAGCACATCAAACAATGAATGGGGGATATAGTCTTAGTTTTAATAAACATTTAGTAACACTTTTTTCATGTCCAAATTATATGGGAACAACAGAAAATTCAGGAGCAATACTTTATTTTAATAGTTCTTTACAAGGAACATTTAAAGTATTTAAACCAATAGCAAAATAATACAAAACATTAAATAACAATATTTTTTTTTTAATCAATCTTTCATTCAAATTAAACAGTTTCTATAGAATTTTTATATAATTAAAATATTTCAAAATTATTTAAAATTATAATTAAATTATCTTTAATAATAAGAAAGTATTATTTTAATTTCTTCAATAAAATTTACTTTTATTAAAGAATTCATATTTTTATAAAGTTTTAAAAAAAAAAAAATTATTAAAAACAAAAAATAAAAATAAAAAAAGAGAAATTTTAAAAAGAAATAAATAAAATAATAAAATTATATTCAAATGGAACCTTTATTGGTTATTGTTTCAACTTTTAATGCAGTTTGATAATTAATTTATTAATTAAGAAAATAAATAATAAAAAACAAATAATCAATTGATTTAGATTTTTAAATTAGTTGTTATTTCAGTTGCTGGATTTTTAGCAACTTATACAGCACATTTTGATGCAACAGTACGACGTGGATATTCTACTTTGGTTTTTCAATACTTCGTTCCGGCAATCATTTTTACTCAAACAGCAACCTCAGTAGAACGTATAAATACTTTGGTGGATTGGTGGTATTTACCAATAAGTGCAATATTAATTAATGGACTGGCTTTTCCATCTATTTTCTTTGTCGCAAAAATATTTAAATTAGATAGATTAACAACAAGAGTATTTGTTTATGCTATTTCTTTTGGAAATACTATGTATATACCACTAGCATTAGTTGATAGTATTACTTCTGAAACTACTCTTTTTGGTTTAAATGGAAAAGATAGAGGTGGTGCATATATTTGTACTTTTTTATTAATGTCTACTTTGATTTACTGGGTATTTGGATATTCATTTATTCAGAAAAATCAAATAGAAACAGAAAATATAGAAAATAATGAAAATATTGTTATTACTACCACTCTTAACAACGATAATTTAATAGAAGAAACTAAACAAAGTGAAGATGTTATTAATACTTTTAAATCAGTTCTTAATGACAAACAACCTAATGAAGAATATGAAATGAAAGATGAAATAAAAAATAATGAAACTAAAGAAAATGAAAGTATTAATATTGACAATAAAAAAAGTCAAAATTCTTTTGAACTTTCTACAAATGGCTCTTCTAAAATAGAAGAACACAGTATTATTACTGACTCAGAAATAGATAGTATTAACATAAATCAACCTTCTTCTTCAACAAATTTCACATATTTCAAATCAATACAACAATCTTGTAGAAGAATTATTATTCAACTAAAGTCTATTTGTTCAATAGTATTGTCTTATATCCCTCTTCCAATTAAAAGAGGTATTAAAAATCTTTGTACCCCTCCAACTATAGCAACATTATTAGGAATTATATTAATTTTAATGTACCCTGTTAGAGACCTTTTGTTTAATGATGGTAAATTAGCTATTATTGGTCGTTCATTAAAGTATTTAGGAAGTGCTGCAGTAATAAGTGCATTATTTATTTTAGGAGGTAATCTTTCTACTGGTCCAAAAGGTGGTAATATAAAATGGTATGTTATTGTTATTGCTTTATTTGTTAGAATGGTTATTGTACCAATTATTTGTATTGGAATTCATTTTACATTATGGTGGTATAATATTATTCCATCTGACCCTATGTATTTTTTTGTTGTATGCATTGAGTCTTGTACTCCACCAGCATTAAATAGTGCTATTGTTGTTAATATTGTTTATCCTAAAGGAAATGAACAATGTTCATCATTACTATTTTGGGCATATTTAACAAGTTTACTTACCTTATCTGTTGGAATGATTGGGACATTACAACTAATAAGTTATAAATGTTAATCTTAAGATATTATTATTTATTTTTTTCTCATTTTTCTTTTACTCTGATTTTTATCTTAAAACAACATCAAAATGAAAAAACTATATTATATCATATTTGTAATATAAAATAAATGAAACAAAGAGAACAACTTCATTTACTTAAGCTTTAGTGGTTCTCTTTAAGGCAATTTTTAAATGTCTCATTCTTCCAGTTCCTTGGGTTCTTCTTCTAAGGGCTTTGTATCCCCAAGCATATTGTCTCATTTTAGCATCTGGATATCCACATGAAGCACATCTTTGTTTTTGTAAATGCCATGATCTTTTTCCGCATCTTTTGCAAAGAATGTGAGTTTTATTGTGTCTAGTACCTCTGCAGCTAGTTCCCTTAGTCATGCCTTTGGCAATAAAGTTCAGTTCAGGGTTTTACTCTTTCTTTTATAAACTATAATTCTATTGTTCTCATATTATCTTTTTATTATACTCAATTAAGTATGTTATTTTCATTCTAAAGGATAATACGGTAATATCCTGATTTTATAGGTAAAAAGACTAGAAGTGTAATTGTGTGAAAGAAAAGAAAGAAAAACAAAAAAGGAAATTAATAAAATAATTTTTAGGGTTTAAAGAAACTATAGAATAGAGCATCTATGTCAAAGTGTAGACTCCACGTTAATGCTGTTTTCATGGGATTCCAACGTGCCCAAAGAAATCAATACCCAAATGTTGCTCTTCTTCAAATTAGTGGAGTAAATACAAAAGAAGATACTCCATTCTATATTGGAAAACGTGTTGCTTATGTTTACAAAGTTAATGTAAAGAAAGGAAGTAATAAACCAGCTATTCGTGCTATCTTTGGTAAAATTGTTGCACCACATGGAAATCATGGAGTTGTTAAAGCTAGATTCTTACATAACCTTCCACCAAAAGCAATGGGACAAAACCTTAAAGTTTTCCTTTATCCATCTAACATTTAAATTGATACTTTTGGATTAATAATTATTTTTTTTTTATTATTATTTTCTTTTTCACTTTCTTTTTTATTATCTTCACTTTTTTAATTGATTACTTTATCACTTTCTTATCAAATCTTATCAAATCATCATTACTCTTTTAATCAATGAATGTCTCTGAAGAAATTCAGTGCTATAATAGCATTCGTCCTCATTGGAATATTAACACAGTTAAATTAATTACTATTATTCTATTTCTCTTTATTTTATTACTTATTGCTTTTTTTATTCCTAACTCTCCTTTAAAGTCAGTTATTATTTCAATTATTACTGTTTTAGAAGATTTATCCTTTGTTACTGCATCATTTTTATTTATTTTCTTTTATATTATTGTTTTATTACTAGCCCTTCCTGCAACTCCATTGAACTTAGCAGGTGGGTTTTTATTTGGTTTTTCAAAAGGAAGTTTAATAAATATAATTGGTTGTTTTATTGGTGCTTCGATTCCATGTTTTATTGCTAAATACTTCCTTCAAAATACTATTAAATCATATCTTCATGACCATTCAAAAATTCATCAAATTATACAAACTATTGAATCAAATGAGTTTTTAATGATTTTGTTATTAAGACTATCACCATTATTCCCATTTCCTATTTCTAATTATGTTCTTGGTCCATTTTGCTCTTTTCAAAATTATGTTGTTGCAACGTTCTATGGAATCATACCAGGGACTATGGCTTATACTTATTTTGGGAGTGTAGTTAAAAATGTGAGTGATATATTCTCAAACCCAGATCGTTTGTATTTCTTTTTTTTTATTTTGAAATTAATCTTTACTTTTAGTTGAAAATGATTGGGTTGGTGTTTCATTAATGATTTTGATTGTTATCTCTTCAATTGTGCTATTAGTTACTGTTACTGTTATCACAAGAAAAGCAATTAATAATGTAATCTCAAGAAAACAATTAACAGACACATTAAAATATGATGATATGATAATCATAACTATTAATTGACTTATTTTTTCAAAATGAAACATCAGGTTGAATCTTCTAATCATAATACTAATATCTATGATGAAAAGAAAGTAATGTTTAAGTAAACTCTTTTACTGGAAGGAAGCATCAATATGAATTTCATTTTAACTTGTTTAATAATCTTTATGGCAAATGCTGAAACTGTTTCTTTTGTTCTAGAAAATACATCATTTAAAAATGGTTGGCATATTTATTCGGAATATACGTTTGTTATTATTCATTTTTTTTTTAATTATATAGTATTTATAAGTGTATAGCAATTGTAGTGTTGTACAAAAAAATGGTATGTTATTTTTTAAGGATAATATAACTACAGGATTGAAATTTGTAAATGACAACTCTGTACTTACTCAGGACTTTAATACTCTTCAGTTTTATTTCTTTTTTGAAGGAGAAAATAATACCAATTTCACAGTTTTACTTTCAGAAGATGTTAGTAACAGAAAAAAGACGAATGGTTTTGTTGAAACTATAACCTTTACAGCTCAACCTAATGTAACAAACAAAATTGTACTTCCAATTAATATACAAAGAACAAGATTTATGACACTTAAATTAGGAGAAGGTCAAACATTACGTAATGAGAATGTTAGAATAAAAGACCTTAAATTCTCAGATGAAGAACCTTTTATTGAGACTGACGCAGTTGAATTATCTTCAAATCAGCTTGTCATATTTGATCCAATTGTCTGGCAATGTGAAAATGGAGCAACAAACATTTTGATAATGTTTGGTGTTTTGTCAATCTTTTTTATGTTGATATAAATCACTTTATTATTTAATTTAAATTTTATCAGTTAAAGAAAATATTGTCTTATGATTAAAATTTTTTTCAATAGATAAGAAAAAAAAAGATATCAATACGTTATTTTTAAAAGAATCAATTAAAAAAAAGAAATCAAATTTTATTATAAAAAATGAATTTGTAAAGACCATAAAACCACAAGAATAAGTGAAATTTAGAGAAGAGAACAATGATGAGCATGATCAGGTTTTTTGTTACCATTGCTAGAATTAATTCTTTTAATAAGAGTAGTAAAAATATCAGAAATTCTAATTTCAGCTTTAGCAGAAACTTCAAGAAAGTCAGCTCCATATTTATCTGCAAGAGCTTTTCCATCATCTTGTGATACAATTCTTTGGCTTTCAAGATCACATTTAGTTACCAACAACAATAATTGGTACATCTTCTGTATCTCTAACTCTAACAATTTGGTCATGAATTGGATCAAGATCATTATATGTAGATTGTGCAATAATTGAATAAACAAGAACAAATCCTTGTCCAGTTTTCATATATAAATCTCTCATAGCAGTAAATTGTTCAGTACCAGCTGTATCTAAAATTTCAAGAACATATTGTTGTCCATCTAAGTCCAATTGTTTACGATAAGAATCTTCAATTGTTGGATCATATTTAACAAGGAAAATTCCTTGAACAAATCTTACAGTAATTGATGATTTTCCTACAGCACCACTTCCTAATACTACAATTTTATAGTCTTTTACTGGCATTTTATATTATTTATCTATTTAATAGTTTTACTTCGAAGATTATAGGGTTTTTATGACGTGATTTTTTTTATTAGCTTGTTTCTTCTTTTTTTCATTTACATTTTATTTTTATTTTCCCTATTTTTCCTTTTATTTCAACGTATCACTTCTTTTTTTATTCTTTTTTACTAAATAGTTTCTCCTTCTTCTCTTTAAATGTTTTGAGTAAAAATTTTTCCTTTTTTATTAATTTAGTTTATGATACTTTATTTAGCATTTCTTTTGGCAGTATATTGACAATTGAAGTATAAATAAATTATATTAGTAATCAGTAAATTAAAAAAAAGAAGTTTTGGTAATAGAAATAAAAAGTATGAATTATACCAAAAACAAAATTATTTATTTTCGAATAACATGTTTTAATATTTTTTACATTAGTGAGATAATCTTTCACTGAAAATAAAAATGATAATAATAATATAAAAAATCAAATAATAATATTAATATCATTAAACTACTAATAACTGAAAGATTGAATAACATTTTTTATAACAAAAAATAAAATAAAAATAATTTTTACATCTCAAAAAAAAAAAAAGAAAAAATAGAAATAACATGTCAGAACCTCAAACACCAAGAGATGATCCAAAAGAACAAAAACAATTTGAAAAAGACAAAGAGAACATTAAAAAATATGCAAAAGAGTTTACAAGATTCTTTTCATATAGTAAAAAGAAACCCAATTTTAATGTTATTTATTCATCAACAATTAGTGGATTTAATAGAAAAACATTATATAGGAAAATCATTGGAGAGAAGAATATAATGTTTTATTTTGAAACTCTTCAAGGAGACATATTTGGTAGTTATAATGAATTAGCAATACCAGAAGAGAATAAATATGGATCAACATCAATTAATAATGATCCACATTATTTTATTTTTTCATTAATTAATAAGTCACAATACGGTGCATTTTCTATGTCACTTGTTAATAATAAAGAAAAAAAAGAACAAACAGTAAATGTTTCACAGCCACATGGTATTATTGATGGAGTAACAAATATTAGTTCTGGTATTGTAAATGGTATTTCCACAGGAATTAGTTCTAGTGTTGATTTAGTAACAACAGGAGTAACAACAGTTGCAAATGGAGTAGCAACAGGAATTAATACAGTTACACATTCAGATATTGTTAGTACACCAAGAGACTCAAAAAAAGGAAGTAAAAAAATGAGAAGTTTATATATTTCATCAACAGTTAATGATGATTGGTTTTTAGAAACATACTGTGGATTTATTATTAGTGGAAATGAAGTTATGTTTAATAAAAGATTAGGAAGTTACTATCAATTAGAATGTGAACCAGAAGGATTTGATAAAGATGATAATGAAAAAGTAACAAATTTTATTGCACAAGCAAAAGATATTTTTATTGGAGTTGGTCAACCTAAACCAATTGAATTAAAGAAAATGATAGTTATTCAATGGAATTTTGATACTAAAAAATAATTAAAATTTTTATTTTAAATATTTTAAAAACTATTTAATATTAAAATATGTCAAATTTTACATTAATTACTACTTGGTTAAGTGGTATTGTTCTTTGTGGAATTAATTTAGTTAATGTACTATTTCATGCGTTATGTATTGTTGATCTTGAATCAGATGAATTATCACCAATTGATTTTTGTCGACGAGTTAATCGGTTTGTTAGAAATAAGAAAAGTTAAAAACAAAAAAAAAAGGGTTTATTAAAATGAATTAATCAAATAAAAGAAAAGAAAATAACACATAGATTATTATTTCCAGAATTTATTATTCATTCAATATTAACTTTATTATTTATTCCTCATTTAAATTGGTTAGAATTATTATTAACATTACCAGTATTACTTTTTGATATTATTCAATTGTTTAAAAAGGATTTTCAATATAATCCAACTTCTGTATTTTATCAAATAAAAAATAGAGAAAAATTAAGTTATACAAAATTAGCTTATTATTTAGCTCTTATTTTTATTTTATTAGCAAGACTTTTATACTTCGTAATTATGAATTACAGTCTTTCTAAAGGAAAGAATTTAAAAGTGTAGAATTTTAAAGAAATTCTAAATTGAAAGTTTCTTCCTTTTGGAATTTTATTTTCTTTTTTCTTTTTATTTTTCTTTTTATTAAATAGTTCTTTATTCTTACTTTATGCAAGACTCCACTTCTTCTGCTTCTGGAATTACTTCTATGAAATTACCTGTTATTGTCGAGGCTGCTCTCGCTAATATTTGTTCAATTACTGGTCTTGTTTTCTTCTTCTTTGAAAAAGAAAATTTGTATGTTAGAGCTCATGCTTTACAAAGTGTTCTCTTCTTCCTCGTTTCTGCAATTATTGGTTTCCCTTTCTTCCTTCTTTGTGTTTGTGTTGGTGGGGCTTTAGAAGGTATTTATATCGCTCTTCTTGTTATTTATTTCCTTCTTCGTATTGCTTTAATTGTTTTAGCTTGTGTCTTCGCTAAGAATGAAACTTTCTTTAGCATTCCATTTATTAAGGATTTAATCCTCAAATTGGCAAATTAAAAAATTCAATTTTTGTCTTAACACTTTTTCTCTTTTGTTTTTTTATATCTGAAAATATTATTTAAAAATCATTTCAATTAATATATTGTTTATTTTATTAACGTTTGATTTTTTACTTATTTCTTTGTTATTATTTATTCAAATCTTTTAAATTAAATGTATTCTTTTAATAGATTTTTTTTATTTATTAATTCGTATCTTGTTTGTTTTTTATTTTTCATTTCATTTATTTGGAATTTATTTGTAATTAATCAATATTCGGATTTTATTATTAACTTCTTATTCTTTTTGCTTTTTTTAATAATTTAGAAATATAAATATCTAATATAACAAATAGGTTAATTTAATATTTTCTTTCACATTTCTTTGTTATTGTTTTTTTATTTGTTGTTAGCTTGGTAAATTCATTACCATTGTTGGTAATGTCATATGTTGTTTTAGTCAAAGTATTTTAACTTAAATAATTTACATTGTTTGATATTCTTTTTTATTACTCATTTATTATTTGTTTCAATGGGTAATTGTGAATGTTATGAAATTGTTTAATTGAAACAAAGTCTTAATAGATATACAAAGTTAATGGCTAAAAGAAAAAAACAATAAAGAGTCATTTGGATATTTAATTAGAAAAAAGTAATGAAAAGAATAATATTTTCTTTGTTACTAACCGCTAATAATAACTTCAAAAAATGAAATGATATTTATTTTAATAAACAATAAATCCATAAAAAGACTTAAAATCAAGTATTAATATAACTAATGAATAATACAAAAACATTGGAAGTTGACATTCATTTAGGAAATGGTTGTTCTTTAATTGTTTAATTGGACATTTTTAGTAATAAAAGTGGTTTACTTCAAGACGAAATTAGAAAAGAACAGACATTACAAAGGTGTTAATTTTTCAAAACTATCAGACAGTGGTGTTAGTACTGGTAGTTGTGTTGAGTGTTCAAATAATATAGGATATATACTACATTACCTAAAGAATTATTGGAAAATATGAAAATGAAATAAATGATGAAAAATAAAAATAATAACCATTTTAAATAAAGAGTGAATGTTATGAAAATGTTGACATCGAAGTTTATAATCCATTGAAATGAGAAGGAAAAATAATTGAACCATACAACATCAATAGAATGATATCAAAATATTTATATAAAATTGTCAAAGTCAGAATTTCTTCTATTTAAATGTCATTGTTATAATTCAAGTTAATTTTATTGAAATATATATTTAACAACAAGGGAGCGTGTAAATTAGAATTGATTCAAATTGTTTGAATTGATAATGAATCATTAACAGTAAATTTGAAGTTTAAAGAATATACAAATTTATTAAAGAATGGAAATACAGTCATAGTGATTGATTTTGAAAGATGAAAAAACATAAGTTATTGTACAGTAGTAAATGAATGCATTTTTATATAAGTTAATAAAGAATAATAGAATTTAGGAAAAGATAATTTTAATAATGTAATGGATGATTTAATTAAACAAAAAGAATTGTTCTAAATTTTTATGGAAAGAAAAAAAAATGAATTTAATAAGAAATTAACTAATTTAATGAAAGACTTAGAAGAAAATCAATTTGAGTTAATTGATATAATTAAATGTGAATTAAATTTAAAAATATTATTAAAGAATGATAACAGTTGATGTTTTGTACTTTATACTAATATTTTTAGACTATGTTTTGACACTAAAGTTCAAAAATGACATCTATTTTAATATCATTAATAAAATAAGTAAAGTTCAATGAAAAATATTGCTTAAAAAGATTCATTTGACTTTAGTTGTTGCTTCAAATTCTAATTTTTTACTTGAAATACCAACAAATGGAAATGAAATTAGAATGAGATTTTAAGACATGTTACTTTATTTATTTGTTCATTTTGTTTTTATCATTATATTGATTATTATTTCATTCAACACTCATTATTTGTTTAATATTATTGTTATATTTTCTTCATTATTCATTTTATTTGAATAGTCTGCATTGTTTTTACATTTCTTCTTGTTTTTATAAATGAGATGATATGTTATGTGTAATTTTGTTCTTCAATCATAAAATAATATTCTTATTATAACACACATTAATATTTGATAAAATTTTAAAATAATGAATAACATAATGATTGATTATTAAATCAGAACTTATTTATTTTTAAATTCATAGGTATACCATCGCTGGTCCTTATCATTGAGTTATTTCAATGGAAATTGTTTTATTTTTAATTTTCATAAAGTAGTTGAGTATTTAAACTCGAAATAGGATTAGATGTTCATTAAGAAAATGTCAAGTTGTTGTAAATGTTCAAGTCATGAAAATGAAGATAAAATTGAAAAAGGAAGATGTGGTTGTGGACCAGAATGTAAATGTGGATGTCAAGAAGGAGGAAAATGTGGATGTGAAATGAGGAAGAAAGAACAAACAAGTAAATGTTGTTCAAAAGAACAATGCAGTTGTGGTGGAAAGAAAGAATAAACAACAACACTATGAAAAGAAGTGAATAATACAATAATTAATAATTCACAATTATTTTTTTAAGAATAAACTGACTAACATTTGATGGGGTTATGTATTTGATAATATTGATATGAGTTTAACTCTTCTTCACAAACCAAAGAAAATAATAAAATGAAAATTAAAATAATTGACCAATAACTTATTATATATAATCAGAATAAATATGAAGAAGTTTATAAATCCCACAATAAGGACTATTCTATTTATAGTGAGAGATTAAAAGATAAAATAATGAGAGAATTTAAACAATGAGTAAGAATAACAAATAAACTTTAGTTTAGGTATGACTTAATAAATTTGAAAATATTCATAATTAATTTACAATGTAGAAAACAACAAAATGATGATTAATGAAAATAGGAGATGATAATACACTTTTATTGACATATATTTAAGTTAAAGACATGTTAATATCAATTTCATTTCATTTTAATTCTTACCATTAATTATCAACCACAATGAGATATAAAAACAACAAATAATCATGATAACAATAAACTGTGTTATTTCATTATTACGAATAATTTACACTATTCTGAATAGATAAGAAGATAAATTCTATCAAAAAGAAAAGAATAAACAAGTGTTTTAAAATCAAACACTTTAATATGTTAAATGAAGAATGATACAAGATAAATAAATATGAATGAATAAAGAAAACATTATATTTTTACTATGAAATGAAATAAAAATTCATCTTATATTTATCTGGAGATAAACCAAGCATTTATTATGAGATTAAAATAGTTAATAATAAACGTAATAGAGAAATAAAGACATAAATAGAATGATAGAAATGTCAAGAAACAAAGAATTAAATTAGAAACATAAAAAGTGAATTGGAGAGCCATGACATAAGTCATGACAATACAATAGTCAAATAAAACAAATTATACAAATATTCATAATACATAATAAACAAATGTTAAATGAATGAATATTGGTTAAAATATAATTATTAGTACTACTTCTATTCAAAGAATAAAATGAAATAATGTTATTATAATAAAACACTAAATTAATGAGAAAGAAAAGTTTGCATAAAACTGAATGGAACATAAAAATCTCAACAGAATCAAAATGAAGAAATAAATAGTGACTAATAATAGAAGATGAAGAAGAAACAAAAGAGAAGTGATAAAAATCAAAAAAGAATGAACAAGAATGAACAAAATCAGACAAATAAATAGAAGTAAAAGCAATATAAAAATGAAGAGAATAACAAATAGAAAAATAAGAGATAAATTTAATTCAAATAATGAACAAATGAATAAGAGTATAACAACAAATTAAGAGAAATGAATAAACAATGAATGTGTAAGAAACAGAAAGAAGATAGAGAATTGAATAAAAGTGAGATATGATAATTCAAAAGATGATAGAGTTGAATGATTATATAAATGAATCACAACATTTTATTTTCATCAAACAATGAATGAAATGAATAAATTGATACTAAACATTCACATTACATA